GAGCAAGCAAATAATCAGCCTGAAAAATCTTTTGTTTTTGGTTCGAACTTCTACTCTCCTATCACTCTTTCCTTGGTGGATAACCCAGCAAACCCAGCTGCGGTACAAAAAGTCTTAATTACTAATGTTTAAATCAGTTGATAGTTGTTTTATGCTTTGTGCTTGTGTTCGTGAGTATGTGGATGAAAACAAGTACACACTCACTGTAGTATTCAAGCACTCGTGTACACTCATAATCCTTTGATACTTGATCATTGCGATTTCTCTTCTTTTTTTTAAGGGTTAATTGCAAAACCAATAAATTTATAGGCGAAAAATAGATTTTTTGTTACTTTTAAACAGAGGAAGATTAAACGAAAAACCCTCGTTCGGTCGAGAGTTGAAGAAAACAAAGTACAAACATGTTTAAGAACCACTGTTCGCGCAATAACTTTCTATCAGATTGGCGCGTTAACTTTATAATACGCCATGCATATAAACAGCCTGAAGATTTATTAGAAAGGAGATTAGGACAGTTAAAAAATGTGATATTTTATTTTTACAAGACACCTTGGATAAAATTGTTTTACTGTTTAGCACAAAAATCCACTATCAATTATAAGCCGTTTCGTTTTGATTTGATTTGATCCTTTGATTAACAAAACAATTAACAAAGGAGAAAATTGTTTAAGTGCAATTAGGAAAAACAATGCAAAGAGAAAAGTTTTACGTTTGACAAGAAATTGAAAGAAATTTGCGAAAAGACATTGTAAAAAGTTCAGCGAAGAGTCAAAATTCCCTCCAAAAAAATTTTCGACTGCCCGCTCCTTCCGGTGGGCGAACAGTCGTCAATTTCACTTTCGTTCGGCCCTCATAAATGTTTCACTCGTCGGGATCGGTAAAAAGTGAAACCCTGTATTCGTGACGAACGGTTAAAACGTTGTCGCGGAATAGAAATGATGAAGGTGGGGTGAGTATGTAGATTCACTTTTTTATAAATGGTGGTTCTACTCACAGATTTTTTATTTACAACGATCACGGTCATCATCAGAGAGAAGGAGTTACAAACACATCTCTCGGCATGAAATGAGTGAACCAGACCCCGCCAATGCGACGTTCCAATGAAAAGCTGGTTTTTAATCTCGCTCAATTTTTTAGGGAAAAACGTGAGTTACAACACAACTAAATATTACCCTAATAAATACTGTAAGAAAATAATTTTAAAATAGTGATTAATTTGTATGTCAAATATTATTTAGGTACATGATTAAAATAGGAGGTAAATCATAACCTATTGTATTATTAGGCATTTATCTCCATGTTTATTTTTTCAATTTTTATTTCTAATTTCGTAATCAATCTAGTTCCCTCCTTTTGTTGCAACTGTGTAACTCCAGACTCGGAGTGACAGAAACAAGCCTATGCAGAAATTGCCAAGAAGAAGAAGAAACAGCGGAACACGTCCCCTGTTGGTGCGAAGGTCTATGTAGGCTGAGATTCCTAATCCTGGGAGAGGAAAAGCCAGGGCCTTTAAAGAGTACACACGGGAGCCCTTGAATAAGCTTTGAGGTCGTAAAAAGCCTCAAGCTTAACGAGGAGCTTTTTAATAAAAAAAAAATGGAGATGCACAAAATACTGGTCGCGGTGCACAGGTCGTAAAGAGGCCGGCTCCTATCTAATCTAACCTAATCCTGCATTTAAATTTAGATTTAAATTTAGATTTAAATTTAAATTGCGATTTGTTTCATTTAGATGGTCCTTAAATTCAGAATTTTTTTTAATTATTTTTTTTTTATTGCTTCGTCGTTAGACATCTAGCAAAAGTGCGAAGAAAACTTGTTCGATTTATGCAAGTGTTCTTCGTTTTAATTTTCTATGCCCCTTTGTCCTATATATTTAATATCGCAATCATTACAATTAAGTTGGTAAACCCCGTATTTGATAAATACCGTCAACCTTGAGGTTTTTGAGAAGATGGGAACACAGAGCTCAAAAAGCTACTCTAAAACCAACCCCTAAATACAAATATAAAATGTGCTATGTAATTAAACCAAACTTGATAAACCAAAAAAAAATTAAATAACCAATAGTACCAGTACAATTAGATCTATTGATAAAAAGTTAAAAAGTGACAACAACGTTATTTTATAAGCCAATAAAGGAAATAATATAATTACCATTGTACTCCAAAAATACTTTTCAAAAGTTGAAGAATTTCTAAACAATAAACGATTGTAAAGAAATAAAAAAAGACTCATCATTAAAAGTAAAAACTAGAGTTCAAACAGCTACATATAAAACATACTGACTTTCTATTCTCAAATGACCAATGTGCGGTTAAAAAACTTATACCAATGAACCCGAAGCCTCCCTACCATTGTTATACGGTAATATCAAAATCCATCAAGAAAAGCATAAAAAAAAAGACCAATAGTGTCTTTTATAATTCTCCATGCCACATACTAGCGAGAACAATTGATAAAATAATTAAAACTCACCTCAATTCCAAACCTACATTCGTTATTAAATTTACAATTGATGAAATAGTTAAAGAACATAAACATACCTAACAACTCTGTTTTAGTGTGATTTGATGTATTTACAAATATCCCTGTTAAAGGATGTACTAAACTAACAAAAAACAAAAACTTACGGAGAACTCTAGTAACGAATTTGTAAAAAATGATGTAATAGACCTCTTAAATATACGCCTACCAACTAATTATTATAAATTTAATAATAAATTTTATGAAATGAAAGGATTACAAATGGGGCTCCATTACCCCCATTCGTACCGAAATATTCATGGAAAACTTTGAAAAAATTATTTTCAAATCAAAATTAATTAAATCTGTCCTATTTTTCCTACACTAGAGGATCGAAAATAATTACTTCAATTAATTAATTCTTTATACCCTAGTATAAATCTTACATTGGAAATAAATAAAGATGGTTTTTTAAAATTTTTTAGACTTTAAACTGTCCATAATAAATAACCTAATTGTAATAAACATAAATAGAAAACCCACACTACAGACACTAGGATATCAGCAGATTCTTCTTACCTTGGACCCAAAAAGTCGGTGGCTTCATTTGGCTCATAGACCGTATGTTGAAACTCCCACTAACACCTGCTAACTATAAAAAAGAATTACAAACTATTAAAACCTTATCTAAAAACAATGGATATCAAGAAATGTTTATCGATAGGTTGCTAATAAAAAGAACTTAAAAAATTAACTTTAAAAGAAGCAACAATCGGACTCAACCACCCCACCAAAAATGAATAATTAGGTTTTCGTTGCTTACCAAACATTGGTGAACTATCAGAAAAAGTAGGTAAAATTCTTAAACGAGAAGGTTTTAGAGTAGCTTTTAGAGATACGTGTTCACTTAGAAACATCCTCTCGAAATCTAAACACAATACCGACAATATGTCAAAAAGCAGGGTTAAAAACTTTGGGTTTAACTGTAATGATTGCGATATTAAATAAATAGGACAAAGCAGAGAAATTAGAACGAGAGTTAAAGAACACTTGCTAAATGCAACAATTTTCTGATTTTAAGGACCATCTAAATGAAATACAATTTAAATTAAAATTTAAACACAACAGTGTGCACAGTTTCAACAAATGGAGGGAACCAGATTGGTTTGAGAAATTTGAAATAAAAAAATGTAAAATTAAACATGAAGATAAATGCATAAATATTATAATAAATTTTAATTGATTCATATTTTAATCTATGTAATGGTAAATGTGACAGGTTAAAATCATCATAAATGTGATATCACTAATTTAAAATTATTTTCTTACGGTATTTATTAGGATAATATTTAGGTTTAGGATAATGTTATAATTATAATAATATAATTTTTCGCATGTTCAAAATTGAGCTGTTACTCTTAAAATTCATGTCGTGTTTGTAACTCCTTCAAACTGATGATGAGCGTGTAAAGCTCGAAATGCTGATCTTTGTAATCTGTAGCAGGACTATCATTTACATGAAGAGAAAAGAAAAAAGTTGTTGCTGAATGTCAAACCGAAGTAGCACCTCTCCTAGCTCTCCTTTTTCTTCACCTGCCTTATGTCTAAACTACGTGAATATACGGCATAATACGTGACCGTTTGTCCGATATCCGTGGATCCACGTCTCATTTTCACATGCGACTTTTTCTCTCGACTCCTGTTAAAAACCTTTCAAAGAACCATTTTACTCAAAATACACTAAAAAAATCTTATTTGATAATGTTTTATTAATATCAAATATTTATTAAATTGGTGAACTGTAAAGTTTCACTCAATATACCACTCAGAATACCAGACCTGTCTTCTATAAATGATCTAATCTCTCCAAACCATCAACTACGTCTTTTTGAATTTTGGTCTATGTGCCATAGCCACTAAGAGCTCTATCGGAAGTTAACTGTCACAATTCACTCCTAACCATAACTTCTCCGATTTAACATCAAACCAATATCAACCACTACTACTCACCACGAACCCTCTTCCTTCATTTTATCCTACTAACCTCTCTATCATAGATTAACTATCACAACACCCTTAAACCCACTAGCTAGCAAAAACCTCCATCAGCCGTCACGTCTTCTTTTTTCCTATACTTCTTTTCTTCCTAAGCTAAATCAGAGGTTAACCAAACCCTCACCAATACCCCTTAAACATTACCAATCTCCAGGTTTTTTCTTAATTGTGTCATATAACTTTAGTCTTGTTAAACAGTCAAAGTTGTTTCCACTGCATTCTCTTTCCCTTGCGTTTTGACTAGTTAATTGGTTTTATCAAAAGTACTGCTTGATAACAATTAATTTATAATATTCCTAATTCATTTTTGACACGTCACAATAGTTTAAGGTAAATTTAACGGGAAAAGCAAACTGAAACAAATCACAATTAATGAAGTTTTATTTTGGTTGTTAATATGGTTAAGGTTCTTATTGCTTGTCCATAAAAGTTTTACTTATTAATTTAAATATTAATTTTTATTTTTCAATTATGTTACAGGACTGGTCTGCATGAAGAACGATAAACATTTAAAGGATTCTCTGCCCCACCAACCGACTCTGGCCACGTTAAGGATATCACGTTTTAGCTTCGAGAGTAAGTGGGATTGTGTCATTGATATCTGTAGTAGTGTTTCATGTACATTTGTGATGGTATTTGTTCGTTCATTGCTGGAAACTAACGTTGGCACAGCTTGCTCACGGGGTGATAGCAATAATCTTTCTGTTAAAAAAGGAAAATCCTCGTTGCAGACAATTGGTTAATGGTGAATAAAATTGATAGCGATTTACAAATGAGTCGTGAAATCACTTCTTTCTTTCTTGACTCAAACGAAGTGGGGCAAAACGATGTGGACAGATACACGTAAAGAAATAAATTGTTGATAATTATTCGGGACTGCGTAACTTAACTGTTGTTAATCTCATGAAAAAAAGAGGGGGGGAGGAAACGGTTGAAGTGATTCTTAAATTGAGCGTTTTATAAAAGGAAATCGTAGAGAAAAAGAAAATGGAATACGTAACAGAAAATGAGCCCTGCACTGAGATTTTCTTCCTGCTGCAATGATAATTTATACATATGTTTATTAGTAGAAGAAATGCACAATATAAAAAAAGCTTAAGCGCTTAAAAACATATGCTCGCACAATTTAATCTCATGTTATTCGTATTTCATAATCTTTATCTTCTTACATTCCAAAAATTGAAAATTGATCACTTATCGATTTCGTGAATCTTAACAAGATTTCGGAAGTGGCTTAAGATAGAGAAGACATTGGATTTCTTATTATTGTTAGATATAAATATTATATAAACCAATAATATATAATTTTATTATATTAATTTCGACTTATTAAAGTCGTTGATCTAATAAAAGAAGTGATGCTGTGAGAGTAGCTCCAGGATCAGTCTTTAGACCGGCACTCCTAACTGTTTCTATTTACGACAACTGTTTAAAAAAATGATTCAGTGATGACTCTTGTGGTGATTGATACCACAGACTATTAAAATTGCCATAGATTAATTACAATAGTCCTATTTCTGGGTGTATCTAGCACAATCTTTATTACATCCTTCTTAATTGTTCGTATTAACGAAAAGAGTCTAACAAAATATGATTCAGTAACATTGTGATTGATGACAGGCTGATAACATTTTGCCATAGATTTAAAGCAATAGTCATTTTTCTGGGTGTATCTTGAAGCTCGATCTTTAGTCCGGCCTTCTTTACCATTCTTGTTTAAGAAAACTGGTTAAATAAATGTGATTCAGGTTTTTGATGCCACTGGCTGTTAATATATTGCCATAAATTTAACATAGATCTTTTTTAGGTGTAGTTCAAGGCTAAATCGTTATCCATTCCTCTTAACAGTTTCCGCTAACGACAACATCTAACAAAATATGATTCAGTGATAACTTATGCAATTAACTATGCCACATGCTGTTTAGTATTTCGATAGATTTGGCAGAGGCGACCATTTTTGGGTGTAGTTCAAGGCTAAATCTTTAGTCCAGCCTTCTTAACTGTTCCTGCTAACGACAACAGTCTAAGAAAATGTGATTCAGTGATAGCTCAAGCCGTTATTGATGGATGTTAAAATATTACCGTAGATTACATTAGTGGTTTTTCTATGGATCTCCAGGTTCAATCTTTAATCCTTTAGTTGCTGCTTGTTGCGCAAGGTTTAGAGTAGTTTTAGTTCCAACGGCCCTGCATTCGAACCCGACATACTTACAAATGGGCTTTTTTCAAAAAAAAAAAAAAAAAAAAAAAAAAAAAAAACATACACAGATACTAAACAATAGGCTGAAACAAGGTTAGAATCGTTAACAAATTGATTGACGGTGTTAGGATAGGCCTTACGCGTGTGTTGTCACCCTTAAAGGCACTAAGGTCACCCTTAAACCGTTCAAAATTTAACTTTTTTTATTTGAATTTATTTTTCTTTCGTAGAGCACTCCACGCTACGGGCTGCGCCTGTCCACGTAGAAAATTAGCGTGCTTCCCATGTCAAAACGGTTTCTTGCCACGAATGGGATTTTCTAAGTGTGTAAAAGTGTGACCCGCATAAAGTTGCTTTGGAGGTGTAATTAAGTCGAATTGTAAGAGGCGTGTTCCCACTGAATAAAAGCTCTTTCACTCCCTTTAAGTTTAGAAACTGCAAGTTGAGCTATAAATTAATGATATACAATTATTACCTTTTCGTTCGCCCTTTTAATTTAATTCGGTGAAATGAATCTAAACAGTTTTCAAACTAAAGTCATCAAGGTGAAAATAACAGAATAACCCCGGATCCAAATTTCCTTCACAGTAGTACTTCTCCGGACGATCCAAACCTTTCAAGATATTTTTAACAATTAACCAATTTTTTCTGATCTGAATATTTAAAGGCTGGACGAAAACAAACTTCTATCTATAAAAACTTAAGAATATATAAATAATGTCTGAATAGTAGTTAAACACTAAGTTTCATTTCAAAAAAAACATTTCGGCTATTACAAAGGAGGAAAGCATTAAATAAAGATATACTAACATAAGACGGCAGCCAGCTTCTCGCCCTTGACATCATTAGTGAAAGCTTAGAAAGTATTTGGACTCGGCTTTCGTTTATATTGTTCATAAACACCACCCTCGCAACGGTTTTTTTCTCTGGGAAATGAAACACGCCAACGCAGATTTTTTTATATGCATATGTATTATTCTTCGTACCTAAACAGATTTTTATCTGGATATGTAAAATCCTCTTCCCTCATGAGAATCTCAACTCAGGACTAACAGGGAACAAAAGGAATTTCTTAATTATAGAAATAATTTAGCACTCTCCTCCCTTGTTTTAATTAACTTTTAGTCACTTTGAATGTGATAATTAATCATTTATCGGCTAAAAATAAAGGTTATAATTTTTTTTATTATATCAATAACATAAACGAGTTAGTCATCATTCAAGTTCAACACACGCGCATCCAAAATATATAATTGTCTACCTGTTCTTTTTACTATATATTACTCTTCCTCTTCTTCTTTTTTTTTGTCTAATCTTGCTTATGATTTAGGATCATATTGGTAATATGTTTTTACATACTATATGTAATATGTTTATCTGTCTCTTCTACGTGTATTCTTATGTTATCTTCTTATTTCATTTAGACTTTAAGTTATATTTAATATACATAAATGTCTCGGTGAGTCTCATTGTAAGGTTTTTTATACCTCGTCTAGTTTTAATTCAATTTTGTCATATAGTACATAATATACATATTATATATCTGTATATCACACTCTTCGTTGTATTGCTTTTCTTCTTATCTCCTTTGGGCATTAGGCTTAATATTTATTGGCTGTAAATTGTCTATTATAATTTTAAAAAATGGATTAAACTATAGAATCTCTCTCTCTCTCTCTCTCTCTCTCTCTCTCTCTCTCTCTCTCTCTCTCTCTCCCTCTCCCTCTCCCTCTCTCCCTCTTTCGCTCTCTCTTTCTTTATCTATCTCTCTTCCTCTTTCCCTCTTTCATCCTCTCGCTCTTTCCTTTTTTCTCTTAATTTCTTACACTTTCTATATATCTTTCTGTTTATCTTTTTCGTTCTCTCTTTCTCTCTCTATCTTGCTCTCTCTTTCAGCCGCTCGCTCTCTCCTGTCTTCTCTCCATTTCTCCCAGTCTCTATATATCTATCTCTTTCGTTCTCTCTTTCTTCCCTCTTTCCTTCTTTCACCCTCTAGCTCTCTCCTTTTTTTCTATATTTCTCATTCTCTCTCTATACATCTAACTGTTTATCTCTCACACTCTCTCTCCTTTCACTCCTTCTCTCAATTTCTTACACTCTCTATACATCTATCTCTTTCGTTCTCTCTTTCTTCCCTCTTTCCTTCTTTCACCTTCTAGGTCTCTCCTTTTTTTCTATCTTTCTCATTCTCTCTCTATACATCTAACTGTTTATCTCTCACACTCTCTCTCCTTTCACTCCTTCTCTCAATTTCTTACACTCTCTATACATCTATCTCTTTATTTTTCTCCCTCTCGCTCTCATTTCAGTTTTGCTTTCCTTCCTAATCCTTTTCTACTTGTTAATAAGTTGATAATATTATATTATACCCATAACACCGGCAGCAACCTTCCTCTGCACGTCTTAAATAAATATATAGAACTTCTGAAATCATAGATTTGTGTACCGCTGGTCATCATGTTCGCTGGGACGCAATAGGAGGAACAAACGCCAAATTTATTCCTCTAAAACGACAAATCGGCCGATAATGAGGTACCCGTACGGACCACAAAGTAAAAAGCACACACACAAGAAAGCTAGTCTGCCCAAAAAGCGTGGGAGTATTTGAAAACGGAAACGAGAAGTGTTACGTACGTAAAGAGAGAATAAAGGATGATGTGAAGGGAAGGCGTAAAGAGTGAAAGTAGTCGTGAACTTTCTTTCGCCGTATATACCAATCGGCTCATTTCTATTTTCAGAATCATTTTGTTTACAACGCGGATTTGTCAATTTAAATATGCTTCAACACTTCATTGGGTATTTCAAAGCTGTTTTCTTCTTCAATATTACAAACTTTGTGATAGATATAAAAATCAATACAACGAAAGTTTCTATTTCTAAAATCGTTTCAATCATGAGTTACAATGATTTATTGTTAATATTATTATTATTTCATACTCTAATCAATGTGGAAACTAGGAAAGCTCTAGGAAATTGCATTGGCTTATGAAAATATAAGATTTTTTATAGAGGTCCTTGGTTCAAACTTCGCCTACTCTTGGAATTTTATGACACCTCGTAAAATTTTTAACTAATAGCTTTTCTTTGATCAATGTGAAAATTAAGACCATTAAAATTCTTCGTTCTCCTTTTCACTGCGGCTTTTGTTCCTTTCTTCAAGAAATAGAAAGTTTTTTGTAATTAATTGAATAATTCTTTAATTTTTATGTGGTAATCAAAGTTCACTTTGCTTGTAAGTGCAAGAAATGAATTATATTTTTTAAAAAAATTTCTTAATAATCATCTAGCAATAAATAGTGAAAAATACAGAAAATTAATTGAATAATTATTTAATTTTTATTTGGGAATCGAAATGCAATAATAATTACAGGAAATAAATATACAAAAAAAAATTATAATCAACTGAACAAATCAGTAATACAGTGAATAATAAAATTCATTCTCAACCTCTAAACTTACCACAATCCAGCCCTTTTATGCTAAAATTGCATAAAAAACATGATTAGAAGAAAGAGGCAGCATCAATGGACAGGATCAGCACAGAAGCTTTCACATATTGATTCAAACAGCAGCGAGTATTTGGGTCCCCATTCCCATTTTTGAAGGAAACAGGGTTGTTTTGAATATGGGAACTGATTGCATTGGGGGTTGAAATTATCTAGCTGTTGATAGCACCTGGAGCCAAACCTCAGTGGCTGGACAGACAAGACGGAGATCTGACCCCAGAATGCCTACACCTGGGGGTGGGTGATTCTCGAGGCTGCATTATTGTAAATTACACAAAGCTGGAATTGCTAATGAGCTGTGAGAAATGATAGACTCAACTCTGAACAAACATGTGCGGATTTGACCTTACATAAAACAGTAATCAGTAAACTTTCTGGTCATCACATTCTCGCTGATTCTGTAAGTCAGACTCGTCAATTGCCTGTCAGGCTAAACCAGCAAGAATTTGCACACCACGACGATAATTGGGTTTATGATCTTAGTATATATTATTATTTTATTTACTCAAGTTTTTTTGGCTTAGTTGATGAAGTACAATAAAAAGTTTAATTAAAAAAAAATATATATATATATTTTTTTTTTTTTTTGGGGGGGGGGTTATTGTTACTCTAAAACTTTAAAAGTTTTATTTTTCTAAATTTATGTTTTAAACCCTCTAGCTCAACTTGTGTTGATTAATATAGATGTTATAATCATATAATGTAGCTTGATTGTCGCTGATCACTTATTTTGTGGTTTGTACCATTTCACGACCTTTTTGGCAATCTTTAGATTCATTAACTTGCTGACCTCTCCACAATTAGACTGCGTCTTCCTGACTAAACTATGATTATAGACCGAACATTTAAATTTAAAATATTATTTTCTTTGTATGACTTTAATTAATCAGTAAATATGTTTGTTGAAGGAGGGGATGGTGAGTTTGGTATCATGGCTGGGACTCTGGTGCCTCCTGTCGGTTGGAGTAGGATGCTCTGGTGACAACTCGACTGAAGTTGGGATCACGATTAGCTCTGACAACTTCACGACTGTCGCCCCTGCAACAACCGACATCCCAATCGATTTGGAGCCGACCAGCTATGGAAAACCGAGTAAGTTCGATGAGAACATCGAAGACAAGATATACGTAGACCAGAAAGATGTTATGGACAAGCTCATGCTGGAACAGAAGGGAGTGCTCTTTGCAACCGACCCTCCTGAACCAGTGAAAAATGAAATTTTAAAGAGGAGGAGAAGAGCTACTGCTACCGTTTGGCAGGTAATACATACCACAAAAAATAAAAATAATTTTTTCATGAATAACCGATCTAAAATTGTATAAAAAATTAACTCTGATGATTTTCCCCCATAATAGGTACGGAGATATGTCAGATTTCCTGGACCACAAAGACCACCATGGGAGTTGGCCAGGAGCCCAAGGCTTGTCTTCAGAGAGCACGAGCCAAGCTTACAAGCTCCCTGGTCCCATAACTCTCTGATCGAAGAAACCAATATTCAAGGTAAGAAGAATGAAAACTCCGAAGGTAAGTGCACACTTATCATGTACTTAATCTCTAAACGAACCAAGACTAACAAAGAAATCCTCATAACTCAGGGGCAAATTGCAATTCATGAAATAAAATTTTAATTTAAAATAGGTAACTTTTTGTTCTTGAAGGTTGGACTACTCTTGTCATTTTTTACACACTTAAAAAATATGTATGTATTTTAATTCATCACTAATAATAGAATAGTTTGATGCTGATTTATGCTGAATTATAAACTTTTGTTCTAAATAGTGTGCAAGAAAATTTGACTGGAAATTTAAAAATATATACCAATAGTTTTTTGTTTTTTTTCCCATTGTAAGACCTTTTTATACTCAATACAAACAATTATACACAATACTATTTTCTCCACCTTTATTTTCACTAACGCCCCCTCATGCAGTAGGCCAAATTGGCAGAAGGGATTTTTTCAGAAGGGTAGAAGTTGTGTATGATTAGCAGGTGACGGTTGCAAAGCTGGTTCAAGCTGTCAATCATTGGTTGGCTGCTGGTTGTCCTGGGGGCGAGTCACCTCCCCTTGTGATGGTTTCCTCCAATATTGCTGTGACTACTCCGGCACTAACTCACCTACGAATGCGGCCAGAAGTTCGCAACAACAAGCAACTCCACTTCCGACATACGGACCGGTTGTCAACGACCCCAGTAAGGAAACTGATTGATATTCATTACATAAATCACTCCAAAAGGTGATGTGGGACTTTAAAAAAAATAATAATACTGTAGACACAAACTTTTGAACTGCATTTTTTTACAATCACATTGGCAAACTAGGTTGATATGTCTTGAAAAATCACCGTAAATTATACTAATACTTTTTATTGTTTAAAAAATAAATATTTCAATATTTGTAAGTATTTTAAAATTTATTTTAATAATTTAAAAAAATGTATAAATATCGTAACAATACTAAAATATTGTAGATTTATAATCTCTGATCATCCTGGTTTCTCAGACACAAGCTACATGTTCATCATCATGCAGACCTCAACGCAATATTTCACGATAACTTGAAATCATATAAAAATGTATAAATTATGTACATAAATAACATTAATTAAAATCTTGAAATTCTAAGCATTAATTATACTGACTGACTCATACATTACTTTTTTTAAAATTTACAGTTGATTATTGTAAAATTATAATTTATTTCTGTAAATTATTATGTATAGATGATAAAAAGATGCCAGTTTGCTATTGTATTGTCTTCAGTCATTAATTACAATTTTAACTGCTTGAAATACTTACTTTGACAGTAGCTTTGCATGTCATTAAAGCATGATATACATGACGGACTTGTCTCTCTCAATTCTGACTTTTTTTATACTTGAGACTAGATAAAACCACTTCCTGGGGTCGATTGCAACATGTCTGTCTAAAATCTTATTTGTCACAAGGAGAGAGGCACTTGCGTCTCTTGTTTGTCAGTCACTGTATTCCCTATGCACTCTTAAAAGCATGGAACTGTAACATTTTCCCGTTTTTTTTCCTATGAGAAAGAAGAATATAGTGGCTACAGCTTCTTGCTCAATAGCATGATGAAAAGTAAATAGTTCATTTCAGAATTTATGAATGTTAAAAGTTGTGAGTTTTGTGTGTAAATACAATAAGGCAAGTGAGAAAATAAAATGCCATTAATATGAATAATAATGTCCTTTAGGGTGTGGTTTATCCGTAAAAAATCAAGCAGCACAAAGAAGAATTGTAGGAGGAGATGAAGCAGGGTTTGGAAGCTTCCCTTGGCAGGTTTGTTTATCTATTACAATTTCTTAACTTCTGGAAAATTTTAATGATAAAATATTATTTGTGTTACCCAGGCTTACATTAGAATTGGTTCAAGTCGCTGTGGTGGTTCTCTAGTCAACCGATACCATGTTGTTACGGCCGGACACTGTGTAGCACGGTATATTTCCACATGATAAATGTTCAGTGACGACGTATAATATTTATAAATTTTAAGGGCAAATGCAAGGCAGGTTCAGGTCACACTTGGCGACTATGTAATCAACTCGGCAGTCGAACCCCTACCTGCGTACACCTACGGAGTGAGGCAGATTTCAGTGCACCCTTATTTTAAATTTACACCCCAAGCAGATAGGTATGATATGATGCAATCCGTAATTATTCAAAAATAATATGATTAATTTATTATAATTTTTAGATTTGATGTTGCTGTTTTGAGATTGGACAGGCCAGTTCAGTACATGCCACATATCGCTCCCATCTGCCTTCCTACAAAAGGGGAAGATTTCCTAGGGCAGTATGGCTGGGCAGCTGGCTGGGGTGCTCTTCAGCCAGGTATAAATCAATGCTATCATTGATTAAACAGCTCATTACAATAAATTACACTGACAGGATCTAGATTGAGACCAAAGACACTTCAAGCAGTGGATGTTCCTGTAATAGACAATCGCTTGTGTGAAAGGTGGCACAGATCTAATGGCATCAATGTCGTAATCTACGACGAGATGATGTGTGCAGGGTACCGAGGAGGGGGAAAAGATTCCTGCCAGGTCAGAAATGTTTTAAAACTAAATTCAACACAGGCTCAAAATAATAAATCCCGACTTTATTTCAGGGTGACTCGGGAGGGCCGTTGATGCTGGAGAGAAGCGGTAGATGGTTCCTGATTGGGATCGTTTCTGCGGGATATTCCTGTGCTCAAAGAGGCCAGCCGGGAATCTACCACCGTGTCGCAAACACAGTTGATTGGATATCACATATAATCAACTCCTAATCCTTCTATGAAGGGTTTATTTAATTTTTATTTATCCTAAATTCAAAGGGCACAATCTAAATGTATATATGCCGAGAGGTCACTAGTCAGTACTCTCTTAAACATTTTTTTACCATCTAGATAAACGTTGTTTCTATTTGTTACCTAGTATGCCAAATCTTCCATCATAGATTTCTAAAAATTCAGAAAACTTTTTATAGAATATAAAATGATTAACTTTCATGTGGGTGCAACTTTTTTTTCTTCACTCGTGGGCGCAGGGCAGTAGGCTACTGCCAACTCGTTTTTGCATGTTTTCATCCAATATCTCATCCCGAACCTTTGAATAGGGGTAATTTTGATAGAAGCTCCAACACACTTGTTCAAACATTAAATTTATTCAAAATGATAAATTGACAGTTCCTCCTTATACCGGACCTTCTTTGCGATCTAGTTTCATATATTGGAAGCTGAGAATACAATCCTCACACGGCCCTCTGCACAAACTTAGAAAAGAGTTGATCACGTTTTATGACAAGGGCGGTAGATATGCTGCCTGTGTGCCCTCATGAAGGTTAAGACAAAGCAAATAAATCCATTCTGTGATACTCAAAAATTTTAATAGACCCAAGGTTAAATAAATCTTAGCCATTTCCAAAATCAAGCACCAGTATTTCCTGCAATGGAGCATAATAGAAGGATTATTATACTAAAATATTACAACATAAAAAAAATTGTTAAATGATAGATTATATGATAAAACTTAACGTAAAATTTTAATTAAATATTCCATTCATAAATTTAGGTTTCCAGTCTCAATACTCTGCACAACAATTACAAATTATGTATTTTAAAATTTGACTTTCTACAAATTATCTAATCTTGTTTTCAATACTATTCAAATCAATTACACTACAAATTACATTCAGATCTTACAAGTTTTTCCTAAATTATTTCTAATATACCTCAAAACTTATTTGCAGTAAATTACCTATCTGGTACTTTTGTCTGGGCAAAATTTGTATTGATTATAATAACTTTAATAATAGTTTCAGTGGATTATTTTCACTATTATTGCTAAATTTGATTATTTCATAAATTTGACTTGCAAAAACGAATTTGTCGAATTCGACAATTTTGTATCGATTGTAAATTGATAGTTTGATAGGAAAAATAATTGAAAAGAATTTTCCTTCAACATTTGCTTTAATCATTTACTCATCAAGCTTCATCCACTTCAAAAGAAAATCGTGATAATTTTTCTGAAAAGATTTTTATAAACAAAAAAATATTCCATTTGTATAAAAAATTTTATAAATGTTCGCCCGCTCCCATGCCGAGTTGCAATTTGAAAATCACTTCAGTTATTTCCAAGCAGTAAACTTTATTTATTCTTACTAAATTTATTCTTTGAAACAGAGAAAATATGATAGAAGGTATTCAAAAGAAAAAATGTATCTTTTAATCCTCTCCCCTCCCCTAATTATTGTAAGGTTTATATAAATAATTTATGAAAAATGTAGATACCCCAAAATAATTTTTTATCATTGTAAATACTCTTTAGATATGAATGATGTAAAATTGTGTATATAAAATTAAATATTAGCAATAATTTAATAATTTTAATTAAGCAATATTTATGTAATTTACATAATTAGTCCATTTGCAGGTTGCTACAAAATAAATAAACGATTTTATCTTTTTATTGATAATTGGGTTGAATTTTATTAATATTTTGTGTTGAATGGTGAAAAGGCAAATTACACTTTCATATTAAAAATAATTAAAATATGACCTTTATTCCATGTTGGAAAAGATAAAAAGTTATCAATATATATTAATGTTTAGTTTTTGGAAAAAAAAACCATTTTGACAAATCATTTCCATATCAATGTGTAAATAATGATGGTGTACTTTGCTTTTGAATATGATGAGTTGGATGAGTCAACTTATGGTTATGTTATAAGAATAAATATTTTAATTTTTTTTTTTTTTAATCAAAAAATGTCATATTCTAAATGTATTAACACTTGCAATTTAGTATGAAAATAAATTCTATTATTCCACTTATAAATTTGAAAAAGAGATAGAAAAAAATAAATAAAACAAAGCTAAGTATTTTTAGAACGTTCAATTAGGTCAAATAATAAAATATCTATTGTACAATAAAATTCCCATTCAAAAAATTTGCCCTTATTTCATTTAATCATTCCAAGTCACAGTTTATAATCTTATTTAGAAACAGCGTTGATAATTTTATCAGCCGACGGCTTCATTTTGAAGAAAACTTAAATTACGTTTCACCACAAGTGTTAATTAATGGCTATTAACTTGACATTTAATGAGGTAAACTTTTTGTCATTTTATCAATAATTAAAATAATAATTAATTATATCAATAATTAATGCAAAAAATAATAAATCTTAAACACAAATAAAGAAAATAAATATTTTAAAAATCTATGTTTCATTATAAAATTATGATTTAAAAAAATATATTAATAAATTTGCTGGTACATAGGACTTAAAAGGCAGTAGCTGGTTTGTCTGTGATCATCCTGATGTTACTCTTGCTTGTATTGTCTGACAGAGTCTGTTACAGAATTCCAACATCTGTACTGGTTGGTCTGTGTGATATTTTGTCAGTAATTTCCTTTATTCACTCAAACCCACTTGTGTAAATGGCGAAATAACAAATTCCATCTGAAAAACAAAACCAGCATGAATAGGTAAAAACCAGGATTGATCAAAGTCAAACCAAATTGTTGTTCATATAGTTTTGAATCAATGAAACACCTTCTCTGATGATCGAGGAAGAATTCTTGCAAATTTTAAATAGCTAGAAGATCATTGAACTTTATAAAGGAATCACAAGGAATTTGTAATTTCATTATTTGCTCTGATTCGAAGAGTTGTCTCGAAGCGATCAAAAATAAATTCTCAGTTGACCCATACTTCTTAGAAATTCACAAATACATCTATGAAATCAAAGCTTAACAATCATGTATTTGTTTGAGTTCCTAGTCATGTCGGCATTTCTGGAAACAGGCAAGGAACACTGCCGAAGGAAGATAAAGAAAAGAAGTGTTATTGTGTTTTTTATTATTATTTATTGTTGAGAAGCATTAGTTTATTTATAGTATTTGAATGGAAGAATAAAAGGGTATCAAGCCTATACTCATACTGTTGCTAGTCTGACTCCATTATTATTATTATTATTATTATTGGCCATACAAGCCTATCGGAAATGTTTAAATTATGGAACAAGAATTCGAAATTCTAATTCAAGAACAGGAATAAATTTTATAATTTAAAATGGGTTTTTTGCAAACATTTGGCCTTCCAAATTAAGTATTTTAAAAAGATAAATTAAAGCTTTGGATGGCAATAGGATAGATTATTTTATGAGTTAATGTTTGTAGTCAGAACTTTATAGCACTCAGAAGGGATATAGCAAACTTAAGATAGGTTTAAATGTTAGGATGTGAAATGATGTTAGCCGTTAAAACATCCTTAAAATAAATAATAATAATTTGTTTCAACTAGCATCTCAGTAGAACTTCATTAATTACGATATTACCACTGCACAAGTATTTGTGAAATTTGTTGAACTTTTTGTTTTTTTATGGTTATTTCTTTTGTTTATTATTTGTGTTTATTTCTTAAGTTTGTTTTAGTCGCGAGAAGCTTCTTTTTTTTTTTTTTTGCCGATGTTACGACCATTATTCGGGTACATATAGATACATGTAAGGAGGCATAAAGCCCTATTTATACTTTAGAACAAATAAAAGAAAAATAAATAATGAATGTGTGTCTCTTAGTGACCTGTTGTTTCATAATTTGTTGAAATTGTGAATAGCAGTCAAGGCAGTTTAGAAAAACACTTTTTTCATTTTTTCCCTGACTTTTTGACCTTTATTCGGATCGTCTTCAGGGCATAAAGTATGGTGCTCTTCTTGTGGTGTCATATTGGGTTTGGGGTTGTGACACCATAAGGATGGCACCATTTTATGCCCTGAAAATGACCCGAATAAAAATCGAAACGTCGGCGAAAAAAAAATGAAAAAGGTGTTTTTTCTAAACTACCTCATTCTTGACTGCTCTTCACAACTTCAACAAATTATAAATAGAGTAATCCCTTAACACTCGCGGTTTTGATATTGCAGTTTTCACTATTCTCGTATGAAAAATGAGGAAAGTTTTGACATTTGCGGAAGTCTGATGACAAGGCTCAGAATTGATTCTCAGTCGACTTTTTCCTGCTTTCAGCATACTGTCGCTTCTTTCTTAATTTCTTCTCAGTTTGTTTTATTCTCTCGTTGCAGTTGTGTCGCAAAATGCCACCTCTTCTAAAACGGAAAAACCGTCCTGACCCTTGATGAAAAAGTAAAAATTTGAACATGTTACATTTTTTAAATTTTCCATGCAGGCCAGTTTTTCTTCAAAACAGCTCAGGGAAATTTTAACCTTGAGGGACAAACTTATTAAAAAAAAGTAATGGTTTTCGACTCTCTATAATAAATCGAAGTTTTAAGTTTAAATGGGATGTCGAGGCCGCTTCAAATCCTTATGTGGAAATTCTTAAAGAAATTAATTATTCGGCGAAACAGCGAACAATTTATAGTTATTTCTTTCCTTGCACATCAAAAATTACAAACAATGAAAACATGTTCAAACACTGTTATGTCTTCTATTCAGTTTATTTGAATAAACTGATTTTTTGGTACTAAATTGTAACTCAATTTTTGGTGTCATGTAATGTAAACCTCCTTTATAGCATGGGAAAATAGAATCAACATTCCTGGAGTTAACATTCACGGCGGTTTTCTGGAACCAAACATCCGCGAATGTTAAGGGATTACTGTAATAAACATGAAGTAAAATGGCTGTGCTGAACTGTTAAAAAAAATCCGTTTATCTTATTTTGTATTAAATAGTTGTTATAATTTATTAAGGTGAATAGTTTATGTATTATTTATAAATACATCGTCAAAATCGGGAAATTCGACCGTATGTTACAAAATAAAACATTTTTCAGGGATTTTGAAGTTAAGCGGGTAATTTTAAGTGCGCTCTTTCGCCAGAGCCGGGAGACTCTGGAGTGTCGTCTGTTATCACCTGATTATAGTTTTTGTTTTGATCTCAGTTGGCGTAGTAATAACATTGGACGTTCTCAGGGAAAAAATACTAATCAGAGACGAGGGCGAGCGGCTCCCCTGGATGAAATCTGACAGTCGGCGGAACTTTGCCGGCCCCGGCTACTCGTCATGAAGTCACTAAGGAGAGGCCAGCCTTCGCCCGAGAACTTGAACGTTCTACGTCTCTTTTGAATTTGTGACATGCAATAGAGATTTTCCCGAGGGGCCGAGGAGGGCGATGGATTCCGAAGAGGACTGGTCCTGAAGTGAACGGTCGAAGGAATCCTTTAAAGGACGGGCGCCTTCACTCTTCCGTCGTCCGATTAGAAACGGGGGGAAAATAAAAAAAACAACGATGATCCACACGTCGAGACACAGGATCGAGGTGAGATTTGTTATTTCAAACGAGCCCCATTGATTTCCCGGGCCGGTGACGGTTCGATTTTCCAATTGCGTTTTAATTTCCCCTCTCATCGTTATCCTTTGTGTTTGTGTCCGTTTGTTGATAATGGAATTTCTCAGCTGTGTTCCAAGGACTTCTCCCCCGACCTCTTCAGATTATTATTATTCCTTGTTTTTGTTCCATTTGTTTTTTCCTTTAGTTTCATTTTTAGTTCTTTGACACGCTCATCGCTCAGAAAGGAATTAAGCCTTTTCCCCCTCGATTTGCTTAATTTTTAGTTTTTTCCTCTTTATTTTCTTTTTTTTCTTTCTTACCAGTACTATTCTGTTTCCGGCCAGAAGTGGCAATACGAATAGTATCAAGTACGGAAAATCGCCAAAGGACGGAGAACAGTTATTTTGTCACAAATGGAAAATGGTAAATATCATTTTGTCCGCTATTCCGCAGTAGTCCAGGTAAAGAAAATCACTTTGTCGCGTAACGCTCCGCTTTTAAAATCCCTTTGTCCGCAGTCCGCACGTCGGTAGTAAGTCGTAATTGTTGATTTTTCGACGAAAACCCGGCCTGGAAAATGCGACGCCAGATTATTTCTGACCCTTGTTCAAAGTGCAACGAAGATAATTAAAAACAAACCCGATATATTTTTTCCTCTGTTTGTATTTCGGTTTATGAAAGTGGTTTTTTCTTATTGGAACACGAGTGCCTTTCAGTGCAGAAGGGAGTACGAATGGATACACAAATTTTTTGTTCGATGCAGAAGGGAGGAAGAATGGATTTTCAAATTTTCTACGTTAGTTATTTTTATAAACATTTATTTCATGTACTTTGTTTGATTTTTGTCAATTGTTCACTTTTATTAACTGTTAGTTATCAACTACCCTGACAATTGGTAGAGTTAGTGCTTTTTTTTACTTTATTCCTTTAAAGAAATATTACGTTATTTTGCCTCTTTGGGATAAAAGTGCCATTCAATTCAGAAGGAAAGAAGAATGGATATTCAAAGTTTTCACGTCAGTTATTTTTACAAAAACTTATTTCATGTACTAACTTTTACAATTTACTTATTTGTTTGATTTCTGTCTATTTTTGGCTTTTCTTGAATGGGTAAACGTTCACAACTGTCCTGAAAATTAGTAATTTTTTTCCTTTATGCCATAAAAGAAATATTATGTGTTATTATGTTGTTTTCCTTTTTTTACTTTCTCCCTTTAAAGAAATATATATATTTTCCCTCGGAATAAAAGTGCCATTCAGTTCACAAGAGGAGGAAAATGGATACTCCAATTTTTTGTTCAATGCAGAAGGGAGGAATAATGGATTTTTCAAATTTTAACATCAGTTTTTTTTTTTAATATTAATATATTTCATGTACTAACTTTTTACAATCTACTTAGTTATTTGATTGTTATCAATTTTTGGCTCTTGAAGGGGTAAACGTTCACAACTGCCCTAAAAATTGATATTACTTTTTTATTTTATTCCAGTAAAGAAATATTATGTGTTATTACGCTTGTTATCCCAACTTAAAAAATTTCATTTTCATATACTTGTATATTTTAAGATTTTGACTACTTTTATAAGTGCCTCCTCATTAATTTCTTTAGGTGTTATTATTGGCTTTCCTAAGACAGACCCAAGTAAAATTTTAGATGTGTGACATCGATTATTAATATGATGCCGAATCAAAAGGTTTCTTTCATCTTTCACCCCTTTTTTTTTAAACATCTTCAGGTATCATATTTCCAAAGAGGAAGTACATAATACAAAATTTGACATATGGGCGGAAACTAAAGGTTTCCTTCATCCCCCATTTTATTAATTTCTAGGATCTTGTTTCTGCTCAATTATATCTGATGCTGGATATTGGTCTGCGAGTCTGTAAACTTACGTTGAAAGTTTACTTATTGGTGTCCATGTTTACTCGAGGTTTGTCAGACCCCCAATAAGTGGGGGCTGCTTCAACATTAGTTCACCAATGCTAGACCAGCCAGTCAGGCTAGGTTATATGCAACAAATCCGTTAGTAAAGAGTTAAAGACAGACCCAATAATTAACCCAGTGGCGGTTCAACATCTATTTGTGATTTGACTCAATTCTACATGTTACCTACCTCTTTACCAATTTAAGCACATTGCCAGATTCCAATCTTTAACTTTTGAAAGCAAAAGCCACAATGATCCTGCTTCTTCCTGCTGTCAGCAGATCTGTTTCAGTGTTAAGATTTTTCTCAGCTTAGCAAGAGGTACTCTCCATTCTTCTTTAAGTTGGCAACTGAATTATTCAATTCAATCCTTCATACTCATTTTATATCTAATTAATCAAAATTGCATCAGATAGATTATTAGACCAGCTTAGAACTAAATGTTGTGCTTTAACACTACTTGCGCTTCTTTCTGATTGGTTCCTGTGTGTCTCCATGTTAATGGAGCAAATCCGTAGAATAACATAAGGAAAAAATAAGCTCCAACTCCAGTTTTCATTTGGATCAATCAGTACACTATATAAAACTAATTTTCCATTCTGGGTCTTATCTGCCCAAGATTTTCGATTTCCAGAATGGTTAGGAACAATTTGTCATAATTTAGCATTCATTTTGTCAGATTTATAGCTATCTCCAATTTTTTACTGTCCATGGTTTTCTGATGATTTTCTCTTAAGTCTAGCTTTATTTCAACATTAAAAAGTTCCTTTGCTACTTATACTGTCCTCTGAATGTATAACTTTCATTGAAGTTTGTAAAATCTCTGAAGTAATCTAACGAGATGTCTGAAATTAAAATTTTTAATTAAAAATATTTCCAAATAAACAGTGAATAAATGTGTATTAAAATTTCTGATATTGAATTTACACTGTGTATTATTTTATTTAGCAGTGGTTAAAACTTAATCCATCAAGAAATAGCGTAATAGCCAAGAAGTTATTGAATATATAATAAAACAGCTTTATGTAATAGGTTAAAAATTTGGATTTAACAATGACCTACAAAAACAGACTGTTTTTACTTTGTGAGCTTTCAGTAATTACATCACCATCATCAGAGCTCTAAAAACAATTAATTAATGGGTGTGAAGGTCTTTCCAAATAACAGGAAATTGAAGAAGAACTGATGAAATTGCAAAATTTTTATAGCCATGATGATGTTGATCTACCGAAAGTTTGCTAATTAAACAAACTCAGGCCAGCCCATCCTACTGATCGACTATTTTACTCCAAGTTTTCCCAATCACATCTACAACCTGTTACAAATACATTTTTACTTTTATTTGTTTTAATTTTTTTTTTTTGTACACGCTTTTTTCCACTTTGTTTATTTATTTTAATTGATTGATTTGTTTATTTATTATGATTGTTTTGAGTGTTAGTAACGCTAATTGATTCTTCGTTTCCAGGCCAAGAAGAAGGATAAAAACAGAAACATACATGTGGGTTTGATATTACACTTTTATTTCTCTTTCTAATCCCTTTTCTTTATTAAACACCATTTCTTTTTTTTCTTTTTCTTCTTTTTTACTAATTCATCCAGTACATTTTCCAATTTTCCACTCAGTGCCTTATTCCTGTGTGTTTACTTAAAGATGATTTTTCTACTTAACAGCAGAGTATTTTTTAATAGTTTTATTTTTTATTTATTTATTATTTGTTGTGTTATAGCTAGCTAGAGTATTCCTTGAGGATGATGCTCAAATAAATAAAAAACTCCCAAAGGAATTACTTCTAAGGTATTTATTTTATTTTATTTATTTATTTATTTTTTTTTACTTGGTGTCACTTATATTTTACATTGATATTAGTGATTATTAAACAAATTTATTTTTAAGGATTTTCTCTTACCTCGATGTTGTTTCGTTATGTCGGTGCGCCCAGGTATCGAAATCCTGGAATATCCTAGCACTTGACGGATCCAATTGGCAGAGGATCGACTTATTCAACTTTCAGAGAGATGTCGAGGTCTGTTTGCTTTAAAAAAAAAAATTGTTTAAAAAAAATTGATTTTGATTTGGCGCAGGGACCCGTGATAGAGAACATCTCTATACGATGTGGAGGCTTTCTCAGGAAACTGAGTCTCAACGGATGCCAGTCAATCGCAGACGGCTCAATGAAGACTCTTGCTCAACTCTGCCCGAACATTGAAGATTTAAATCTCAACAAATGCAAAAAAATCACAGATAGGTATTTATTATTTATTTATTTAATTTAAAAATGTGTTTATATATATTTTTTATTATTATTTTTTTTTATTGCAGTACTTGCCAAGCACTCAGTAGGTACTGCTCTAAGCTGAGTAGATTAAATGTCGGTTCTTGCTGTAAAATAACAGATTTATCTTTAAAATCCCTTGCTGATGGGCAGCATAATTTAACCCATGTAAATATTTCTTGGTGTGACAACATCACTGATAATGGTATATATAAACTTTTTTTAAAAAAATAAATGTTCTTTCTTGAATGAATCTTTTTTGGTTTGAAGGTGTTGAAGCATTGGCTAGAGGTTGTCCGAAGCTTAAATCTTTTGTATCTAAAGGCTGCATACAGTTGACGGACAAAGCTGTTGCTTGCCTTGCTCAATACTGCACAAATTTGGAAGTCGTGAACCTACAGGAATGCGTGGTTTGTATCTTTTCTCATTTGAACCTTCAACATTGTTTAGGACATCGACTAATACAATTTTAACAGAATGTTGAAGACAACGGGATCGGGAAACTGGCAGTCAACTGTCCCAAACTCCATAATTTGAGCCTGTCGGGTTGTGCAAGATTGACAGATTTGTCATTGGTCAGTCTTGCTCAACATTGCCACCTTCTGTCCACTTTCGAGGCTGCTAGGTGCAATCAGTTCACGGACACCGGATTTCAAGCACTATCAAGGGTATTTAAAAAAATTTATTAAGTGAATTTTTTTGATATTTATTTTTCTCTTTGTTTCAGAGCTGTCGACTCCTCGAAAAGATGGATTTAGAAGAATGCGTCCTTATTACAGATCAAACATTAATTCACCTTGCTATGGGTTGTCCACATTTAGAAAAATTGGTATAGTTTATTAGACAAATATTTTTAAATAAAAATTGAGAATTTTTTTAAATTTTTCATATAATTTGAATAGAGCCTATCACATTGCGAATTGATAACAGATGATGGAATCAGACATTTAGGCACTTCCCCTTGTGCAGCTGAACATTTGACTGTACTCGAGCTGGATAACTGCCCACTTATCACCGACTCATCACTCGAGCACCTCATCACATGCCATAATCTTCAACGTGTAGAATTGTACGATTGTCAACTGATAACCAGGGCAGGAATTAGACGTCTCAGGGTAAATATTCGACGGGACGTTTGTGTCGATAATGACTGACGTTCCATTTAATTTAATGTTACAGAGCCATTTGCCGAATATAAAGGTGCACGCTTATTTCGCCCCAGTCACTCCTCCTCCTTCCACTGGCGGTACGAGACAGCGCTACTGCAGATGTTGTGCTATTCTTTAACAAGTTATGTTTTTCTTCTTTTTTTTTTTTTTTTTTCTTTTTAGATATTCATTTTGGTATGATATTACCACTATGTGTAAATAGCATTCACTTATCACAAGAAAAAAATGTAAATATTTTTATATTACCTTTGACTATTATCTAAATTGATTTTATGTTGTTTTTATTTTTTACTTTTATTATAACTATTAATTTATCTGTCTGCTTCTTCATTCGTGAATGTATACAATAAAAAAGTTGCAGATAATGACTGAAAATGTATTATCGTTTAATATTAATTTTTTTTCCATTGCTTATGGCATTTTGTCACATTGTCCGTAATATACTAGGCCAAAGTTAAAAGTTTTTAATTTTAGAATTGATGTTTTTTTTTTAACTAGTTTTATTTCTTTTTTTGTACAATTTAATTAATGTTCTAGTTTCCATCAGAAGCTAAAATAAATATTTAAAAATTAAGTATTATAAATTACACTCATTCATCCTGTACATGATTATCTTGATGATTTGACTGAATAAAGGCTATTTTGTAATTGATTGACAGGGCAAGTAGGTACCAGGGCATATATGGCAGAGGGGTAAAGGAGAGGGTGATAAATTGTCCAAGGGAAGTTCGATGAGGACTCCTATTGGCCTAGATCCCTTTTGAGATACCTAATTGCCAAAACTTGGATCCATCAGACAACACTAAAAATAAATCCTACGTTCAATGGGAATTTAGCCCGGGCAGAGGCATGCGAAAAAGTTTATCAAAGGACCATCGTATAACTACTAAATCTAGGATGTACTAGGTCTGGAATAATAGTTTAACTGCCAACTGGGCATTGCACTCTGGCGTATGTAATGGCTAAGTGGTGGAAACGGGTCTGTGCAGATATTGCCAGGAAAAACGTGTCCCACAGATCGTACAGTAAAATATGTTTGCATAACAATAATTAGTTTTGCTGTTTACTTTTATTTATAACAATAAAAAAGTATAACAATTTAGTATTTAGTCGAAAGTCGTAGGTTCGAATCCCACTCGTGACACTGCTTTTTCATCTCAACCATGACAACGAACAAAGTCTAATTAATTTAAAAAATGTATCAGAATTATATTCATGATTATTTATAGATCGTGAGATGTGGTTAGGTGTGATATTGCATCTCATGATCTCTTAATAACCATAACTAACGGTCGCTAAACACCTCAATTATAAATATATTTTTTTCTCTTTCCAAAAGGTAGATTTAAACTGAGAAGGCTGATCAATCACCAAAGAAAATATTAACCTCACAATTATATTAATGTCCATCCAATACCAGGAATGATTTTGGTGTAAGAGATTCCGTTCAATGGATAATAATAAAAACATTAATGACAACTATACCAAAAACATAATTTTAATAAATAATTTAATAAACTCAACATTAGTGTTATTTTATTTTTTTTTTACTATGGGTTTAGTAGGTGAAAACATAAATAAAAAAGTTTCACTCTCACACAACAAATTTAAATTTTTTTTAAATATATTTTATACAGTTAATTTATCTTTTCAAAAAGTTTATAAATATAGTAACAATATTTTTTTTTATAACAAGTTATACATTAAAAAAATATAATAAATTGTTGCACTTTTATAAAATGCTTTTGCCAAAAAAAAGAAAAAATTTGGGCAAAGACATGCATTTCATTGGTCCCTAGTATTTTTTCCATTTGTGTTTTAATATAAATTTTGTTTAATTAATTAATTATATATTGCATTTAAAGCATAAAGTTATATAGATTTTTTTTACACTGCGAAGGAACAATATATAGTTATTTATACTATGATTATTTCTATTTTGGAGATTCTCATATGTTCCAGAGTTTAGCACTGTATTTCATGATTTTCTCAGTGGGTCTAGACTCTCGATAGAAAAATCTTCATTGCCAAATGACAAACCCCGACTGAAACCATCCTGTAAAAAAGAAAAGAAAATTATTCATAAATTAATAACATTAATTACATTAGTCCTGAATGACTTACTTTCATTTCTAAAATCCTTTTGTCGAGCATTCCGATGGCATTTTCAAGGTCAACAGGAGCATTACTAAAATCTCCCATGCCGAAAGGATCCGAACTGCTTTCTGCTGATGAAAAGTTGTCTTGGTTTCGAAATGGCGAAGGCGCATTTACCGGAGTGGGAAATGTCGAATTGAATTTATTTCTACTTCCGGCTTTCGGAGGGGGTGCCAGGAATGGTGCGTTTGGAAGTGTTGCCTTCTGATGGTTCATCCCATTGTGATTGTTATGGGGGAAGACGGGCAAAGTTTGCTCCACCTCTGTTGCTCTGGGGTTGAAATCGTCGTCCAGTTGGTCCAAAAGCAGTCCTTCAAGCTTCGTTCCGACACACGGTGTTGTATCACTGAAAAATAAAATTTACTTGGCGTCTTTATCTTTATCGTTTAAAAAGCGATGACTCACTTTACGTTGCTGTAGCTCTCAAATGATCTCGGTGGGACTGGTGGTACCGACTGCCCAGTTGGTGCAGAAGGGACTTCATTTAAATTCAACAAAAGGCCTTCAAAATATTTTTAAAAAATTTAATATTCAACTATAAATAAAATTACATTACTGTTACACACCATTGGTGTGATCAGTCGTGTTTCCGTTAAGTTTTTCAGGAGTGCTTCCTTCAGCTGGTAGCTCATCAACCACTAACATATTAGTGATTTTATTCCTTCTCATGTATCCTTCAAGGTCCTGAAGTGTTTTTAACAGATAATTTCGATTATTACACACTTTATAACATTCTGTAATATGCTGGGTGTTGGTCTACGACTCTGTGAACTCATGCTGTACCAGTATTGGATCATCTTCACTCTGGGTTTGTTGAACTGCTTAAAGCAATTTGGCATTGTGAGGAACTGTTTCAGTTCAGTTAATAGTTCCTCACTGAAGATGGCACAATACCAAAATGCATTTGAATTGTTAAATCAATCCACAAGTGAAGTTGGACCCAATGCCGTTCAACATGAATTCTATAACATGTTTAGGGTAAGGAATTTTTAAATTGCAATTAAATATCAATGTGAGGTCTGCCAGGTAAGAGACTGTTTTATTATCCCTAATCATCTTGTTTGTCTATTCTCTTGTTATTTTGTGTTATTGTGTTGTTTTGTTGTAAGCATAAAATATTAATTGACAATATAACAGAGAACAATCACAGAAATAAGTCAGACAGATGAAACTAGGGATAATAGGCAGGCCAGGATGATCAGGGAAAATCAAGCAGCCCTAGTCTTAATTCAAACACAAGAAATTATCATAACATGCAACATAAACTCCCAACTGGCTTTTTGAATAATTATATTTAAGAATATGGAACAAACATACCGTTGCTTGACCATTCAGCACATCTGAAAGTCTTTCCCTAAGGACAGACGATTCATTTTCAAGCTGCTTCACTTTCTGTTGGAGCAAGATTATCCTCCTCTGCACTTCTAAATCCTTACCAGACGTTTCAAGAAACCTCCTGAAAGTTTGGATTTTGAATTTCAGAACGACAGGGGGGAAAATTAAAATAAATTACTTATAGGCCAGATCAAAAGCCTGTCCAATAGTGAGCGTTATCTCTTCAGCGAGCTTATCACTCACAAAAACGAAACACATGTGTTTTTCAGAGTCTAAACCATTTTTGGCGATGAATGAAAAAGACTTTTTCTCCCCTTTATCATCTGCGCAGTATGATATCCTGTGTAGAGGATATTGGTGCATAATTCGCTGCAAAATCAAATCATCAGATTGATAAATGCGAAGAGATATCGCTGTAATACCTTAGTCTTTGGTTCTTGAATTGCAACTCCGTCTATACTTATGGTTAGTTCTACTTTGGGTATTTTTGTACCCTCGGATTTTTTTATCTGTTGATTAAATTTCAGTTTCCTTATGGCTTCTTTGACTACATCTATTCCTTTCGGCTGGTCCACTTCGGTATTTCCCATAAACTTAAAACAAATATAATAATTTATTTAACATTTATAAAAATAAAGATCAATCCTTACCTTCACTAGATATGCTATGTGCCCTTTCTGTAAAGTGTCTGGTGGATGTATCCATTTCCTGTTACCTATAATTAAAAATTAATTATACCAATGGTATAGAAAGAATTATAAATGGATTAATCTGACCTTTATCATTCTTATTTTGTGCCCACTTCAAAAGCGCAGAATTCCGCATGATATCGCTGAAAAAGAAGTAGAGATTTTTTTTTAAACTGACAAATTTAATATCTATGCAAATTATTACATATCTAGTATTAAGGGAAACTGTGATAATCATTTTAAAAATTAAATGAAAATCTTTTCTTACATAAATTCCCAGTTTAACTACCTATCTTGTATAATTATCTTTCCTTCATCCTAAAAAAAGTTAAACCTTGAAAATCATAGAGCTTTATTTGCTAGCACTTTTTTAACACATCTGTACAATGCCGTACAAAAGGTGAGGGCCACGACATAGAGATGATTTATTATGTCATATTTTAAACACGACTGTACTGTGTTTAGATTTTATTTGTATTTATTCTCATTCATGGTAAGTATTTTGTAACTCGATGTATTTTCGGCTAATTTGTTTCTTAAAAAAAGACCTTTTAGCACAAAATTGTAAGGCCTTGGAACGAATAAATGTTTATATTCCTCGAATTTGGAAATTTTCTATGCTGTTTTTTTATTTTTATACATTAGAATCTTTGCTATCTATGTCATAAGGTGAACTTTTTATCCAGAAAGAAAAAATGTAATACATTTTAATGTCCTAAAATATTTATTATTGACATGGTAAAAGTTAAAAATCTATTTGGTTAAACATTTCAAAAACAAAAAAAATTCACTGCATTTTTGTCTCATTGTCAACTGATTTCTACAAAAGAAAAAACAAACATTTAGCTGTGATTATTCAAATGTATTCATGTGTTCAATTCCTATAAATGAACCAACCACTTGCAAATAAAACTAAAAGTTTTACATAATTTCATCAACAACAGTTATTTAACAATTAAAAAGAAAAATATATACAAATCTATTTATGTTGTTGCTTTTTATATTGACATTGATCAAATAATTTTTAAATTATATTAGAAATAACCCAAGGAAAAATATATACAATTTTTTAGTTCCTTGGTCTGTACATTTTTTTAAAAATCTGTTTATTCGCAGCTCGTGTTTTTTGCCAGCATTTTTGTCCTCTTATCTGTGCATGTGCTTTCACTTGTATCTGATTGTTTTGTTGTTTATTTCTTGCCTGTCCTCCCCCTGCTTGGTTTTTGCGTAACTGGTTATCTTTCTTCCATTCAGTGTATGGGTGTGCATTTTGCTTGTCTGTCTATTTTCACTTGTATCTGCGTTTTTTGTTCTTTTTTTTACTTGAGTGGTGCATTTGCCTCTTTTCTCCTGTTTGTGTTTTTCCCTGTTTTATTTCTTCTTGCCTTATTTGTCTTGCCTGTGTCAGTGTGTGAATTTTGATTGTCTGTGCCAGCATTTTCACTTATACATCTTGCTTGTGTTTGAGCATTTGCCTGTTTTCTCCCTGCTTATGTTGTTTTTTCTATATTTAATTGTGTTTTCTTTCTTCTTGCCTGTGTCTGCTATTTTGCATGTCTGTATATTTTCATTTACATCTATTTTTTTCTGCTTGTGTTATGCATTTGCCTTTTTACTGTACTAGTGTTTTTTTGTATTTTCCTGTTTTCTTTCTTCTTACACCTGTGTCTGATTTTGTTTGTCTATAATTTCACTTGTATCTTTTTTTTTGCTTGCTTGTGTTTGTGCATTTGCCAATTTTCCCTCTGCTTGTGTTTTTGTTTATTTGGCTCTTTTCTTTCTTCTTGCCTGTGCTTGTCTTTTTTGTTTATATATTTGTATACATACATACATAGAGAGAGAGAGAGAGAGAAAAAAAATGAGTGAGAGTGATGGTGTGAGTGGAAGTAAGATAGACTGATATATANTATATATATATATATAGAGAGAGAGAGAGAGAGAGTGAGAGAGAGAGAGAGAAATTGTGTCCAGCAGTTTAGTATATTTTTTAAATGTATGTGTATAATTGTGGGTTTTTTTATCCTACTACAAAAAATACAATTTTTTTCATAAAAATATTGTATGCATTACTAATGAACCGAAGTAATAATGCAATAATTTTGGAAATTATTTCCATTAATGGAGGTATAATCGTATTACATTATATGTATTACGTATTTTCTTTTGAAAAGAAACTACAAAAATGAAATCATACAATATATTTATTAGACATAATTACATTTGATTAGTAACATTACCATTTGACATAAACTAATGAAAAAATATATGTTTTATTATGGAAATTATGGCTTTGTGTAATATATTATCAAACCACGTAGAGGTTGAGTGGAAACAGAGCAGAAATTGTATCACATCAAGCCAACACTTCCCGGAATTTTCCTATTTTACATGCCACTCCCGCCGAGATAAAGGCTCATGCCAAAAACAGGGAGATAAAATTCCCGCTCATTGAGTTCACGATACAACTCTCTCGTGATAAGGAGCCCGGGGGGAGCCAGTAATTTTTAAAGAGGGCAGATTTATATTTTTCGATTTCACAACAAGACCTTGGGGTGCAAGGCAGTACCAGGCTCACTTCCACTCCTTCCTCGTCTCTTATTCCCAACGGAGCTGGGAGGAACGGAGAGAGATCCAATTGGCCCCCACTTCAGGCTCCGCGGCCACACGGCTCGCCTTTACGCAATCCTTCGCAAAATTTAATAGAATGGACTACTTTTGTTTTCCCATTTTTTTTTAAATCTTTCCGCCTCCAGATCCTGCTTGGAAACTACGCGGATTGATTAAAACAATGTCGAGGCAACTGCCTCAAAGTCAAATATTCAAACACCAACGACATCCACTATGGAACAAATTCTCATCGTACCATAGTACCGCACCATCTGAACAGTAACTACCTAACGAATTGAATTAATGCTGTTATATTCGAAGGGCAGAACGCAGTAAAAGGTCATTCATGGATAATTTAATTTAATTGGGACGATACCAGGCTGTCGTCAAAGCCTGTCTCTTTATTTTCGATAGGGAAACGTATCGTCAGTCTTAGTTTGTTTGGCTGTCTTCTTGGCTTGTTAAACGTTCCGTTTAAAATGGCTAAATTGCTCGTAAGAACCACGTTGTTCCGATTCAATCTGCTGTTTAGAATAATGACTGCACAATTCGACAGTCGCAATGGTCGTCATAATTCATGCACACAATTTATCCTAAGTAACTAGTCATTTTATCGAATCGAACTCTTTACAGGTGTTTTTTATGGTTTATCTGTTGCATAATGTGTGCATGTGTAATAGGAAAAAAATGGAGGAACATCGACTTATAAGAAAAAAAGTGACCTCCGCCTCTTCGGGAGACAAAAGATTGGGGGCACAGGTTTACGTCCTAGTACCAGGCCCCACGACGTTGAAATGAACGAAATCTATTCAGGTTGACAGACTGAAGGAGATACGTCTAAAGTACAACGCTTCGTTTGTACATATAATCACATAGCTTCATAATAGTAATGAAGCTGAAGGAAACAGTCGATCAGCAAACTGGTAGACCAACAAACGTTAAGATGGAAATGATGAATGGTGGAGTGAGTGCGATGTTCAATCCTTTTTAAACAGTTAGCTCCTACTCACAGTAAGTACTTAGTATTATTTACTTTATGTGAGTAGGAACTATCTTTTTAAAAAGGATTGTTACAGATGGTGTAGTTTTTTTTTTCTTTTTCTTTTTTTTATTGCCATCTTATTTTCTAAAATGAAAGTTAAAATTTTGAAGTGTAAAGGATGAACCAGATCGGTCATAACCCTAATAGAACCTTTACATCTATTTTGAAGGTTCGTTAAATGTATAAATAACCAGAACTTCTCTATTGTGCCATTGTAAAATCTTCAATACTGAACTGCTCACGTCTATGCTGAAAGTGTTGCTATGCATGAAGGGCGTAGGGATCTTTGTACTAAGAGCTGGACAGTTTCAACTTTAGGCATAGGATTTAGTAGCAATTAAAACCAAAAGGAGAAAACTAGCCATTCTTATAGGGTGCAAAGGAATCTTAGTTTAAACTGCTACACAGTCGGAACCTCTTGTTCCTTGGTATGCTGCAGACAGCACAATATCAAGTCTAAGATTTCATAGCAGTTAAAACGAAAATTAGAAAACTAGCCATCCTTCTAATATGGCTATGGCATATCATGGAGGACAAGGGATCTTAGTTTAAATAGTTGGACTGTCAAAACCTATGGTTTAATGGCATGCTACAGACATAACAACAGAATTTAGTGGTATATCACAAATTTAGCATCAAGTTCATAGCTGCTATTACGAAAGAGAAAAAAACGGTCCTTGAAGTATTGCAATGGCATTGTATCATGGTGGAAATAGGGATCTTTGTTCCAAGAGCTGGTAGACACAACTCCATTTTCATTGTTAGGTCCAGGACGTAGTTGTTATGAAACTTATGGCAATAGAGGGAGTACATAGGAATTTTTGCTCCAAGAGCTGTAAAGTCTGAACATAAGTTTCTAGCAGTACAGTAGTTCTCAGAGGTTAGAACGAAAATTAGAAAAAGCGCCAATTTTAATACGCTTATTGAATAAGACATATCATAGACAGCGTGGAGAGTCTCAGTATCAATGTAGAGGGTTAAACGAAAATGAGAAAAATATAATTTTAATAAGTTGAAATTTCTCCAAGTTGTCTGCGGGCTGATAAACATGAAACCACTGCATATGCCAAAATGCGTCTGACAGTCCAACTCAGCGAAAATAGGCAGACCAAATTTCAAATCCTAATTTGGCTAAACTTTTGGATTTAGCAATTTAATCGAGTATTGTAGCAGTTACGTGGAAAAGTAAAAAACGAGCTATGGCGAGGTATAATAAATTACATGGTCATTTAAGTTCTGGCCTGTTCAAAATTCTGGTTCGGATATACATGCCATAGAAATGGAAAACTATTTAAATATACGAATGTTAAATCCGTGAAGTAAATGCTATACATGCCCTCTTGAAATAATCGACGTAAGTATGTACAGTAATTATATGCAATCATTTTATGAGTGGAGTATATATTATTAACAGCGCGAAGACACACACCAAGCGTCTTAATTTTTAAAACAACTGAATAGCATGATGGAGGATATATAAAGACCAAAAACTTT